GGTTTAGCTATGGAATGTTATTAGAAAGTTGTATGTAAAAACCAGGGTCCATTATGAAAAGACCTGTTATAGAAAAGATTGACTGTATATCAGCTGGAAGAAGGACCCAATGGGTTTTATGTTATACAAATACAAAATGATGCATTTATTGTAACAATTGGCTGTTTAGTTGTATATCAGATCTACTTTCTATTAGTATAAAATGATAGATTTATGGTATGTTTAGCATGTAATACAGTTTTGTTCTAATGTGTTATTATTGATAAGTGATTTTTGATAACAAATAGTAAACATAAAATCACATGAATTGAGGAACAGTATATACCATTATAAACTTTGATAGTGCCATAAACTTCACTTTTATTTTATGAATCACATTTTGAATTTTCTTTTATCTTTTAAGCAAGGTATTTTTAGGTTAGTCTTGTTTACAGCATCAGAAAATTCCTATTCATATGACCTGACACTTCTAAAGAGGAAATGATAAGCCATATTAGATGAAGTAATATTAATTTTTGATAAGTAATATGAAATAAGATATGAGCTTGAGTTGTGATAGAAAATTCAGATTTTATTGCAGTAGGCAGGTTATGGATGCATTTATAATTAGATGAGTTATTAGGGAAGGCAGTGTAGAAAAGCCAACTAAAGCAGTTCTAATTTTACTAATCCAACTCTTTCCACACAAATGGTAAAAGCGTTAGCAATTAACAGTCAAGCTTATACTTAAAACACACTAGGAATGTCAAAACCCTAGATAAAACGATAGCATAGAATAATTGACAGAATGATGTATACAAAATGACTGCATTCTTGAATGAAGCAAATCAAATTTTCCTAAACTAATATTATTTTATTAGAAAAAAAATCTGAAAATGATCCGCACCCCATAACTACTAATATGAATTATATTTTTGAGATTGTGTTAGAAATGATGTTATCAGGGAAAAAAAGTTTGCTCAGGTTATTTTTAGGCATAACCATTTTTTCATGGTTAAATGTTAGTTTTTTTGCAACTACAGTATATGGTGATGTAGATAAATATGGTATAACAGGATATTCTGTAATGGTACAAGTGTGATTTGTGGAAACATGATTGTGCATTGCAAAATGGGAGTAAGTATTTTTAGTTTTGAATAGTTGGATAATGTATACATACATTTATTTTGCTCTGAACACAAAGAGATAATGTAAATACATTCTTGGCTATTAGATTTTTTGTGTGCATGAACACTGAATGAATCTTGGATTCTGTATTTTCATTAAAATTGTGATTTTTGTGGATCTTTTGGGTTATTTTGTTCAACTTGTAAATATTCCCCATATGTTTTGTGTTTGTTTACAAATATAAGGAAAGTGTGTTTAACCATAAAAACCCATGTTATAATTAATGAAAGAATAGTCTCATTTTTGTTTGAACATTTTGCAAGGCATATATATTTTATGTTTAAATAATACCTAATAATATATGTACAAGGATACCCAAGTTTAGGGTAACATTAATTATTTCATTTATATTACAGTATATAAAATTCCCCTTATAACAAACATAAATGCAGTCTGGATTTAGTCTTGAATATTTTCTTGGCACCTCACATATGGTGTCCAACTACATTTCCTGCTTGTGAGCCTTTGTCGATTGCCCAAGGAGAGCTGCAGTTACAGGTGTTGGGTTGCTCACTTGGTTGCTCTACAGTAGTCCTTGAGTAGTATGGTCAACATTGGGTCCAAAGAAAAGTGAATATTGTCCTTGGCAACAGTATAGCTGCCCATGATAATGAATTCTTTTTATGTATAGGGGTTTTCTTTACCTTGTGTGTGATCAGTCCCATAATCTACACATGAAAGCTCCTTATTATCAGTATATAGCATTTTTATAGAATTTAAAGTGAAACAGTAATAACACTCTATGGAATAGCTTATTATCAACGATAAAAGTGTCTATCACATACTCAAAAAATTACTCTTCAAAACCATGGTGATTTTCAGTTACAAAAGTTTATACCATCATTTTTAAAAAATATTTTGTTAAATACTATGGAGGCTGTTTAGTTATTACATCGTTGTAGCTGAGAAAACATTGAATCTTAAATATCCTTTCATACAGATACTCTTTTTTAAGGTTATTTGTAAATATGTAAACCCAATAATGGAGATAAAATACAAATTAAATATTCTCAAGAATTTATTGGTATTTCATTCCAACCAGATTTTAGACCATTTTCTGTGAATGGTAAAACACTCTTGTTTGTGAATTTTGATTTTTTCTACTCTTTTCTATATTTAAGAATATAATTTGTTTATTCATTATTCATCCATTTATAACTTAGATTCCCAAATCAAAATCACATATGGTTGATATATAATCTGTTTGTTTCTTTTTATCATGTTTGATTTTAAAAAGCAGAATATACATGATATTGTAATGTGGTTTGTGGAGTGAAAATATGAGAATCAAATTGATCTATTAATGATTAAAAGACTATTATTTATTTTACTT